TGTGTGTGTGTGTGTGTGTGTGTGTGTGTGTGTGTGTGTGTGTAGAGAGAGAGAGAGAGAGAGAGAGAGAGAGAGAGAGAGAGAGAAACAGAGAGAGAGAAACAGAGAGAGACATAGAAGCACATTCTGAGGGAAGCCTAAGTCCATAGGTTTGACTGTCAGCCGGGTTGGAGCTGTGTAGATCTCTCCTGGAGTTGGGCTCTCCAGAGGCTACAGATGGAGAGGGTATTGAGTTGCTGGGGCCATGGAAACTGGTGGTGGTCCTGGGCTGGAAGAGATTTGTTCACTGTGGTCAAGCAAACAAACCTGTGGCTCCTCCGTTCTTAAGATCCAGACACTCATCAGAAAGTGGTTTTGTGGACAGACAGAATCACCTTGGGGTGAGTGGATTTTTTCAAAGGAGGTCTGGCCTTTCAGGTGTTCAGGGACATCCAGCCAGTGCTGAAGAGAGCACAGAGGGAAAAGCCAGGATGCTCTGGGCCTGGTTTCTTGCCTGTATAACAGGCCTAGCCTGGTGTGAACAGGGAAGTACAATTAGACTGGAGTCAGGAGAAAGGAGACAGGTCGTCCTGAGGTTTCTTGGGAAGACAGACCGCCCCAGCTACTAATAGGAATGAGCAATTACTTCTGGGAAAATTCCTGGCCTGTCGACCAGAACCATCATTCTAGAGTTGGTTTTCTCTCTCTGAAGTCTCACTTCCTCACAAAGCTTAAAGGGCTTGTTAGTGACAAGGCATTTGCACTGGGCTGTGTGGCCGGCCCTGAGATGAAAAGCTTTCAGGATGGGACCTTTTATACAAAATGGCCGGGCTGGGATTGATAGTAATAATAGTGATGTCGTGAAAGCTTTGAGGAAGGATTCATATTCAGAAGGGGAAGACTAAGCTCCTTTACAGGAGAGACTCAATATATATACTCAACAGGTAGAGGCCTGAAAGGTTGCTGACAGGCCAGGGCTTGAGACTGGTAGCGGATTTATGTAGAAGTGAAAGTCTAGAACTCAAGCCCCAAGGAGTGCTCAGGCAAGTATGGAGACTTTTTGGAGAGGTTCCCAAACACAGCTCAGCTATGGAGGTGAACTAGGAAAATCTTGTCTTGTGAGGCCCAGGGGAATACACAGAAATTACACTGGAGCAGTGGGGGGGGGGGGTGACAGGTAGGGAGTCAAAGACGAAAGAACTGGTGACACTTGCTTAAAATGGCAATCTGAAAGAACAACAGGAGAGGGAAATAGCTGGTACCACCAAAGATTTCTCCCCAGAGGGAGGGAAGTGCTTCTGGGAGAAGGGAAATCTGGGCACAAAGTTGGTTGACTATCCTTTTGCAAGGTTGATGAAGCTCTGTATTCGTTTCTGACACAGGAGATGACATATATCAAGCTTTGACTGCTAAAGAAAACTCAATAATATGATCCATACCTTTGTGTGAGTTCTTTTACGAACTCTTACCGTGTTGTTTTTTCCCCCCAGTAATGACAAAATGAGGGGATTCCGATTAAATTACAGAGCTGGAGATTGAGGCCCCTCCCAAGGGGACAACTTCTTATCCTGTTAAGAGACGCTGGGGGACAATATCCAGATGGGTTATGAAGATGGATTCTTGTCCCCTTTCCAGCTGTCAGAATAGAATCAAAGTAAAGAGCGCACAATCGGCATCTGATTACACTGGGCTCATGTTTCTTCCGTAGAAAACAGTGGGTTAAATTCGATGAGTTTTCACGCTCGGACAAATCTCGAGGTCTAGGTGTGCCCGTAGGTGGGCAGACCGGCAAAGGAATGGGGACGCGCAGGCGGGAGCTGTGGCGGTCTCTTTAAGAGTGGAGGCTGCGCGGGGCGGTGCCTGCACCGCCGGCTTGGCTGCAGCCCCGCCCCTTTCCCGTGAGCCCTCGGGGAGTGGTCCCACCGCGGGCGGCTGCGGGTGAGGAGTGGGGCGGGGGGTGGGGGGTGGGGGGGGGAAGACATGGCTGTGCCTCGGCGCAGCTGGCGGCTGGCGCCTGTTCGCCGTGGCGTCGGTCGGCCCAGGGCGCGTCCACTTATGCGGCCACTCTGGTTGCTCTTCGCAGTGAGCCTCTTTGGCTGGGCCGGGGCTTCGGACGGCTCCCGGGGAACGACAAGAGCCATGGACGAGGAGATCGTGTCCGAGAAGCAGGCGGAGGAGAGCCACCGGCAGGACAGCGCCAACCTGCTCATCTTCATCCTGCTGCTCACCCTCACCATTCTGACGATCTGGCTCTTCAAGCACCGCCGGGCCCGCTTCCTGCATGAAACCGGCCTTGCTATGATTTACGGCAAGTGTCTTGGACCCCTGTCCCCTTACTGGTATTACCCCTTTCTCTGCCTGCCGACTGCTTCTCCTTCTGTCCTAGTCCTGCTTGGCCTCCGTTATGCTCCCCTTCTCATTTCATTTTCCGCCTCGTCTTAAACCGTCCTCGGTTTCTTTGCCTCATCCCCCCCCTTTATTTCTGCTACGCCCCCCGTTTTTCCTACCTCGTTCTCAGCCTCGCCTCCCCATTTTCTCTGACTCTCCTTGCTGTTTTTGCCTCCGACCCCACCCCCTTTTTCCTCTGCTCCCCTCTGCCTCTTCTCTGCCTACCAAGCTAGGCACCAGTAAGGGTGGGTGTTGAAGACGGGAAAGGGAGTCGGTGCGGTGGCTAGGATGGGACTTGGGGCAGGGGGAGGGGAAGACATCCTTGTAGTCTGTCTGTCTCTAGGGTGTCAGTTTGTTTAAGGTTCATTGAAGCTGCAGTAGTAGCTGTGCTGCCAGCATCTGGCATTCTTTTGGAACCAGAGGCGACCTTTACTCATTGCTCAGCTTTTGCTATGCCTCCTTTCCAGATGCAAACGATAACCTTACTCCAGTGGAACCCACGCAAAATCAAAACCTGAAGCACGCTACAGAAGGCTCAGGACATTTTAAATGTCGTCCTAATTTATTATATTCTATCTATAATACCTGATGGGGAGACCTAGGGTTGATCCTTAGGATTCAGGCTTATGAAAGTGAGGACGAGTAAGAGTTAAGGTTCTTCAAGCAGCATGTTACATACGATATGATGAGAACAGTTCAGCCAAATAGTAATCAAGAATCTTCACGGTTATGAATAGGGGTGACCTGCCGGTAGCATGAGGTTACTGACCAATTGCTGTGTAAATGATTTTGGTTCTTGAGTCTCAGTGTGTTTTCTTTTGAGGTTATTTTTCTGTGCGTGGGGGGCACATGATATACACACACGCACACGCACACACAGAGGGGGGCAAGAAAGGAAAATCAAGCCATGGGCTTAGAAGCATTTTGAGCAATGCTCTAACCTTGCGAGGGGGAAAAGAATATATTGCTGATGGTCTCATATCTGCCTAGGAGGGTATGGTTTAAGAGACGAGGGCAAGCAAACAGTCCTATCTGCGCAGTAATGTGTGAAGATTATCTTCATTTGGTAGCGTCTTGAATTATAGAGGGTTGTTTCTAATATTTGAAGATAGGTATATGAAGGTTTGGCACTAGAAGGTATTTTTTCATGCAGCCCCCACACCCTTCCAGTAAATCCAGACTTCTAGAATGTGCATGCATCTCAAGGGTAGTAAGAAAAGGTAGTTGTCTGCCTTGAAAATGCATGGGCTCAGGCTTGGCTTTCGTTAGTAAGATAATAAATTCTAAGCATGAGGAATATCCTTGTTTACTAGGATGTCAAAAATGAATTTCTTTGTCTTTTCTTTCTTTCTTTTTCTTTTCTTTCTTTTGGTTTCTCAAGACAGGGTTTTTCTGTGTAACAGCCGTAACTGCCCTGGAACTTGCTTTGTAGATCAGACTGGCCTTGAACTCACAGAGCTCTGCATGCCTCTGCCTCCTGAGTGCTGGGGTTAGCGGCTTGTGCCACCATCACCCAGCCAAAAAAAATTGTATTTCATTTGTAGTGCCTCTTAAGGCTAATTGGTCATACAAGTTGTACATTTTACCTAATTTCTCTGTGTGACAATATGTGTGACACGTCTACTATCTTCAACAAACATTTACTAATTAGTTTATTATTATATAGTATGTACAGAATCTGTAGACGTGTAGAGTCTTTAAGGAATGTAAAGACAAATCATTTGGGTAAATGAAAAATGAGCTGCATAGTGTTACAATAAGGAACTGATCATAGATAATCTCTTTCCTATTGAGAGAGATGTTTTTACTTGATAGTTGATGGTACAAGACTTAAGATCAGGGATTGGCATTTTAAAAAGGGCTAGATAATAAAGATTATTGATTTTAAGGGTCATGTATATTACATTTTAATCCCTGTTTTTTTCCTCTTTGCAAACTTAAAAAAATGCAAAAAAGGGAGGGGGTCAGAGAAAGAAGGATCACTGGACAAGAGAGTACTGGCTGCTCTTGCAGAGGACCCTGGTTTGATTCCCAGCCCCCACATGATGGCTCACAGCCATCTGTAGCACCAGTTCCAGGGGATTTGATACACATTTCTGGACTGTGGCTAGTGCATACACACACTACACTAACATACATGTAGGCAAAGCATGCAGACACATAAAGCATAAATAATTTTATTTTAAAATTTAAATCTTTAGGTTTTTAAAAATAAATGAAAAAAGTGTCTTCTCGGCTCTTGGGCCATGGGAAAGCAAACTGAGTTCTGAAGCTGCATTTACCTCTTCTGTGGCTCTTGCACCATCATAGCTGTTGTGATACTGTATATCTGTAGTTTCATTTCTAGGTGAAAAGAGAATTTCTGCACATCTAAGCTTCAGCTGGATGGCGATCTAATTGTGATATTGGTTTCAATATGTAACTACCCTCAGAAAAATGCTGGGTTTTTTTTTTTGATTGCTTGGCAGAGATGGTTCTTGCTATGTAGTCTAGGCTGGTCTTAAACTCATGGCAGTCTTGCATCTGCATCCCTAGTGCCAAGATGACAGGCTTACATCACCATGCCTACCTCTTTTATCTTTGTAAGAAGCAAGGGTAAAAAACTTAAACCACAGCTGGGTGTGGTGATCACTAAACTCAGGAAGCAGGCAAGAGTATAGCAAGTTAGAGCCCTTCTAGGCTGCAGAGCGAGACCCTATCTTAAAACAGCCAAACGGAAAGTAAACTTAAGCCAATTATGTGGTCAGTTTCTAGACTGCAATATAGATTAATAATTGCTCTAGCAGCTGGGCGGTGGTGGTGTGGGCCTTTAATCCCAGCACTCAGGAGGGAGAGGCAGGCAGATCTCTGTGGATTCAAGCAAGGCCAACCTGATCTACAAGAGCTAGTTCCAGGACAGACTTGATAGCTACAGCGAAACCCTGTCTCGAAAACAGATTCTTAGCCAGGTGGTGGTGCACACCTTTAATCCCAGCACTCAGGAGGCAGAGGCAGGTGGATCTCTTATGAGTTTGAGGCCAGCCTGGTCTACAGAGTGAGTGCCAGGATAACCAGGGCTACATGGAGAAATTCTGTCTCAAAAACCAAACAAACAAAAACAAAAAACAAAACACCCTAGGCTCCTTTGTGTGTGCATGTGGAGGTGCGTCGTGAAAAACAGAGCTCAACATTGGGTGGCTTCCTCAGTCGCCGTCCGCCTTATTTTTTTGAGACAGAGCTTCTCACCAAACCCAGAGTTTATGGATCTGTCTAGACTAACCGGCCAGCAAACCCCTATGAATCTTCCCATTACCATGTCCGTAACACCGGGATTACAGAGGCACTCTGCTGTAACCCTGTTTTTACGTGGGTTCTTGGGATCCCGACTCAGATTCCTGTGCTTACATGGCAAGTGCATTGCCAACTGAGCCTTCTCCCCACCCCCTGCAAACACAGCATCAATGCTCCCACGTGCTTTGTTCACTGGGCTAGTTTTCTTAGGAAGCTGTAGAGTGAGTCACTGTTCGTAGACATTGTTGAGCTAGTTAATTAAGTCTGAAAAGCGATCACTCACTGCATGTGCTTACAAATAAGAAGCAAATGACAAAAAAATATTTGGTTTGCGTTAGGGAATCTTGTTTAGTTAAGTCCTAAGATTAACTATTACTCTATCAGTAAACCTTTATTCGATGTCTGTGATGGATGGCGTATGATGAGAAAGGTAGGTAGGTGCCACATTCCCTGCCCTCAAAGTAGTACAGTCTAGTAACTAAATAGCTAGTGTTTATTGAGCATTACAGTGTGTTAGACTGTATTATTCACGTTTAAGTAGCATCTCATTTAAACCTCATAGCACCTCTGTCATATGGGTACTATTATCTTTCTCATTTTACAGTTGAGGAAATTAAGCCTCAGAGAGGGTAAATGATCTGCTTGATATTATATGTTGAGTCAGGATTCAAAGAGTCTATCTGGTTTAACAGCCACCCCCTCCCTTTTTTAGCCAATAAATCACAACAAATGTCAGTAAAAGCTTTGACTTTCTTTGCTGTCTTGAAATTCAGTCAACCATTGTTACAGAATTAACAATATTCTCTTAAAAGATTTTATTTTTTATTATATGAATGTTTTGTCTGCATGTCTGTCTATGTAGCACATGCATTCATTGCCCTCAGAGGCTAAAGATCGTATGAGATCCCCTGGAGCTGGAGTTCCGGATGGTTGTGAGCCTCCATGTGGCTTCTCGGAATCAATCGTGGGCTCTCTGCCTGAGAAGCAGTGCTCTTAAACCACTTAGCCACCTCTCCAGCCTTCTCTAGCAGCAGTTTTGAAACAAGTTACTGATGATTTTATGAACGCATACTCACTTTCAGTAGGAGGCCCTGGTCATGCTAGAATAAGCATCCTGTCATTGAACTACACCTTCAAAATCCTCTTTTTCCTTTTTATTTTGAGACAAGTTCTCACTGATTAGCCCCAACTAGTCTCAGACTTGCTGTAATTCTTTCTCTGTCTCTTGAGTCCTGGGACTACAGGACTTTATTATTATTATTATTATTATTATTATTATTATTATTATTTAAACGTTTTTATTATTATTGGTGAGTGTGCATGTTTGCATTATGTGTTGGTGAGTGCGTTCATGCATACGACACAGTGCATTTGGAGGTAAGAGGTAACTTTGTGGAGTCAGTTTTCCAGTGATTGAACTCGGATCATCAGGCTTCTGTGGCAAACTCTTTTAGCAGCTGAGCCATCTTGCTGTCCCCAAACACTTCTGAAGGTGTAGAAAGTGTTGTCGGCTCTGACTACACTTCGTTCTTCAGTGATATTACTCCCATACTTTTCAGCAGCAAAATTTTTCAGGTACAGTAGGCAGGGAGACTGGGCTGGGGCTGCTGAGGAAGCCATGTTGTATTAACTAGAGAAGCCGACAGTGGG